AGGTTCTACACTAGATGCCGTACCTGTAACCCAACTATGGGTGTTACCCGTTTAACCTCTCTGTAATGTAACTAAACCTGTGTCACCAAGACATCTCCGGTACATTTGTCAATCAAGAAGTCTCAGATACTTTATCCGATTGTTTTGATTTACATATTACACCAATTTTATATTTATATAGAGTAGCACTATGGTGCTATAGCACTATAATAATATTCTTTTTTTATTTTTATTTTATTTTATTTTGTTTTTTGTCATATCTTTTCTATTTGTTTTTTTTTATTTTCTTTGTCGTTTTTTTTGTTTTCTTCATTTCTTTTTTTTGTTCTTTTTTTTTTATTTTTTTTATTTTTTGTTTTTTTCTATTTTTTGCTATTTTTCTTTTTTGATTTTTTTTTTGATTTTTATCATTTGGTGCGAGTGCGTTGTGACGCACTCCATAAGATCTGGTGTAACTTGAAATCAAAACAAACCAACAACGTATTAATTTAGGGTAAGGGTTAGCCCAAATGTAGGATTAGATTAGATTGTAAGTAAATGTTGGTTATACCCAAAATTTTGCAAGGAATTTTTTTTGTTAGAACGCAAAAGATGGTTTCATAAGCAAAATTATGAGTTACAAGCGATTTTTTCAAAACATCGCTATTTTTTTCGATTTCACGTTACACCTGATCTTACGATCTGATTGGTCGATCAGGTGGGTGTGTTACAACGCATATGCGCTAAATTATATAAACCTTTTTTTTTATTTTTTTATTTTATTTTTTTTATTGTTTTTTTCATTTTTTTTGTTTTTTATTTTTTCTTTACTTTTTTGTTAATTTTTTTATTATTTTATTTTCTTTATTTGTTTTTTTTTTTATTATTTTTGTTTTTTTTTCTTATTTTTTCTTGTTTTTTTGTTTTTTTTTGTTTTTTTTTAGAGATTATTAAATTGTTACACCGTGTACTATGGTACATCCTTATCACAAATATCTATTTGTATTATATTATCATATTTATATATATAATCAATGTTGATATCATAAACAAAACTATTCTATAAACACTATTGATCACAGCTTTGATCACTCTTTTCTTTTTATTCTAAGTATGGTAAAATAGTGGTTAACATCATTGTGACAAACTTATCTTGTTTATAAATACTATTGATTATTGTTTTGATGCTCTTTTCGTCACATCTTCTCTATTCATTCACTTGATCACTTTATTTTTTTTTCTATTTAATCATCTGATTCTTTTATTATCTAGTTTTTTCTTTTTTTATTATATCATTTGCTTAGTTCTATTTATTCTTTCTATTCGATATTATCTTACTTAATAGTTTACTTTTGCTTTATATCCTTGATCGCTTTGTTACTAATCACTTTTTTTTTATTTAATTGGCTGATTTCTTTTTATTGCCCAGTTTCTTTTTTTTTTTTTTTTTAATCACTTGATTTCTTTTATCATCTAGTTTTTTTTTTTTGTCATGTCTTCTTTTTATTGGTTCCTATTCAATTTTTTTTTGGTTTCCTAATTTCTAATTATCTGAATTCTTTTGTTTCTTTATAGATTATTATAGTCATGACTAATGTACATAATAAACAAATAACTAACAACTTACCTGAAGCTAACTACTTATCTGAAGCTAACAATTTACCTGAAGCCAACTACTTACCTGAAGCTAATATCATATATGAATCCACAGATGATGATGATATTGATTTAGAGTACTTTTTTCAAAAGGCATATTATGGCGGTATGGATATTGAAACTTTTCATAAAAATATTGAAGTGGTTATCATTAAGAAAGAACAATCATTTAATAGCTTTGAACAAGCTGAAAGTCATATAAAAAAAGTATGCAGAATTTAAAGCGTTTAAGGTACAGATAGGTTAAAATACATCTATCAATACTACAGCAAATGAAAAAATGATGAGAAAAAAGACTATTCAATACTGCCATTCTGGCAAATATTACCAAAAAATCCAGAAGCCTCAAGAAAATCAGTCAAACAGAACTGCCAATAGCATATTAACCTTTCAAGACCTCTTAAGCAGAATCTAAATTCTTAAGTTTTTATAATGATATTAGAAGATAAACACAATAATGATATGTGTTCAGAAGCATTGCAATTCAAAAAGATAAAAGCATTTACTGAGAAAATATAAAAAGATGTAGAATTTTATGTAAAAAATATAGCTTTGGTGCAACATTAATTAGGAGAATTCTGAAAGAAAAATACCCTTTCTATCCAATTTATTCTAAAGATCTCTATGCAGAAATTCAGAAACAAAAACTATCAGTATTGTTCAATGAGTATGACGCTGCATGATTTTATAAGAAGCTGTTAGTTAGACAACGTGAAGACCCTAGGTGGTTTGTAAAGATGACTTGAAAAGTTGAAACAACTACTCTCACAGGTATATTTTGGATAAGCCCTAAGCAAATAATATTATAGTATAAGTTTGGTGAATTAGTAGAATATAATAACATGACTGGAACAAACTATTATTATATGCTATTATCACTCTTTGTAATCCAAGATGACAATATGAAGTCATGAATAGCTGCCCAAGCCCTTATGAGTAATGAAATAACGGAATCGTATCAATAGGTTTGTATATGACCAAGAAAGCAATACAAGGAAGAGTGTCAAGTGTGTTTGTTACTGACAGTAATCCAGCTATAGAAAGTGCAATTTCTACAGAGTATCCAACAACTCATCATATCTTGTGCATATAGCACCTAAAGAAAAACCTTAAAAAAATGCTATGTAGAAAACTAGATCCAACATTTGTTGATTTTTATTTAGCATTCTGGAGATACTACAATAGTGATACACCTGATCTGTTTTATCACTATTAGGAAGAATTAATTGAAAATTATCCAGTGACAAATCAATACCTTCAAAGGCACCTATATGAATAGTGTAAATCATAGGCATGTAGATTTACAACAACACTTCTTACGCTTGGCATTGAATCAACCTTGTTTATAAAGAGCCAAAATGCTTGTATTAAACATATTATTGAAAGCAGCAATACGTCTCTATATAAACTTGGAAAAGTTCTAATTAGCAGTGTTGAAGATATACAAAACAAAACAGTATGAAGAACAGATCAAAAAAATTCTCTTAACAACTAATACAACAACGGTTTTTTTAAAAATTAAAGTACTAGTTAGTCATTATTTGCAACCAAATATTGTTCAATTTATTATCGGCCAAATAAAAGAAAGTGTTTATTATACAGCATATTATTCTAACATAGAGAAAATAAAAAGTATCTCTATAAGTAATCTATCTGAAAATAAAGATTTCGAGAATGAAAGTGATAGTGTACTTATATATGTAAAATTCCTTTTGCAGTGAATAGACCAAAACAAAATTAACGAGGTTTGAATTGTGACTAGAATAACAAAATGTAAAATGAATCACATAGTTTTTTGTTTTACCGATAGGTCATACAGTTATGCGTGCTTGTTGCAGCAAAAAAAGAGGCTTGTATATCAACATTTCTTTCACTTTCTAAATATTACAAAGATAGTATGGTTCAGTATACAACTTATTAATACTCGATGGATCCCTAGAAAGTATCATAATGATACAATAATGATATGTGCTTATTATGGATAATAGTTTATGAATAACATAGTAGATAACAGTGCAGATAAGGAAGTAGACTAGAGTAATCAGTATTAGCACTTGAAATATCTTCAACTATTCAATGATAATATACAAAATAATAGCAATGACGGTTTTATAAAAGAACAGATATTTTATGGAGAAGTATAGAGGCTAGTGTGTAAGGCAATAAACAAATATCTTTTGTATCAAGATAGAGAGTTTGTTAATATAGTTAAAACTTATTTATCTAATATGCGTGAATATGAAAGGGAATTTACCAGCAATCTAACAACTAATTCAAAGAATGATGATTCAAATAAAAAAAATATGGCTTCAGTACTTAAGCTTGAAAATTTGTTAAAAGTTGCTACTAAAGTAGGGTTAGGGCATAGGGTTAAGAGGCATGCCCTTTGATCAAAAAGTATGCCCTTATATATAAGATATTGGTCATGCAATAATTAATATCATAAAATTTGGTTTGTCAAAGCAAATGATTGACTGACATGTGTTATGTATAGGGTTGGGGGCACAGAAAACTTTTTGGGCATGCCCCCTAGGCATGCCTCTGTTTTAAGGGCATGCCCTATAGGCATGCCTCAAAATTTTTTGTATGACGATTTTTTTATATGTAAATTTTTTGAAAAAAGGGCATGCCTCCAACCCTAGTTATGTAGCAGCATGTTTCAGCTAATCATTTGTTCTGACAGAATAAATTTTGTGATATAGTACAGGAAGTCTTAACTTTCCGATATAATAGATGATCTTTAAAATCTATTAATTCCTTAAAAAATTAAAATTTTAAAAAACTAACCAGTAATTTTGTTTTTCAAGACAAGCTCTACAAAATTACCG